TATCACAGTTGTCATTGCATTTTCTTTAATTGGTAGCTAAGACTAATCTTAACTAAAACACGGAACTTGAATAATTATTAGCATAGAAAAGGACCGATCACTTCATTTTAAAGTTTTTTGAAAAGCAAGCAACCACTTTAATAAAATACATTTATAGTTAAACCTTGTCTCTATTAATAAACAAATATTTTTAATAATCTGCAGCTTTTAAGGTCACTGATCACTGAAAGTACTACTTCTATAAATACCATAAGTGTTAGGATGATGTTTAAAACACTTTGAACTAGTTTTTAAAAAGTGTTAAACAACTCAAGAACAATTACTTATTCATATGGAAAAATACGGTGCTCATGTAATTTGTACACAGGTTCTTTTAAATTTTATTCTAGCAATATCTTAGCAGATATAACAAGGGAATGTCTCCCAGAGGTATGTTTAACACTAACTCACCATACATTAGTTTCCCTTACTGTAATCCCATATTTTAAAAATGAACAAATGAGGGCAGAGACAGAACAAGTGATTAATAAGAAACTAAGTAAAAGTCACATGAAGCAGCTTTGCATTTTCTTTTTTTAAAAAATGCAACTAATTATTTAAAAAGAATAAGTGATTCCTACATTGGCATTTCAGTGGGCCTCTAATTCCTAATTACAATCCCAATTACTGTAGTAATTGGTACAATTTAAGGAGACGCTAATAGGTGAAATGAGTAGTTTGTGCCTACAGTTTTTATGATGCACAAATTCACAAATTTGATAGCACTTAGAAACAGTTTTAATGGGTTTAAAGTTAATTTACATAAATCAATTAAAAGCTTCTGAAGAAAAACACTCAAATTAAACTATTTTCCCCGTCAGTACTACTCAAAGATGTCAGTCGACACGGGTATCAATATCAGCTATGTCATGAAGCTAACTCTGAGTGTAGGGTAAGCCATCCCAACTAGCCCACAAAATGGACTGTGGACTTAGCAAATGCCAATGGCTTAGACATATAAGTAGATAATATTAGCATCTGCCCTATAAAATGATCTTCTCTAATTATCTCAACTCACTGGTAAAGAAACAGTCTCTGCTATGACTATGAAAGCACAAACTATGCTGATGGTTTTACTATGACAAGAGTCTCTCTTTCCTCCAGTGTAATGATCCTTTTGTTATCACACAGTCTACCTACTTTATAAACTGCAGAGAAAAGGGGAAAAGGGAGGAATAGAGAAAGAGAAGGCAAAGGAAAAGAAAAAAGGAAGTAGAGAAGAAAAGGAGATAGAGTTTATTTCTACACATATCGACCAAACTAGAAAACAGGCAATGACTCACACTTGAGATCTCCACTAAATCACCAAAAAAATGCTTTTCAAAATCAGTTCTGGAAAGGTGCCTTTATAGTAAGTCAGCTCTAGAGACCTCATTACTTGGAGCCAGGAGTGTTTCCATGTAGTTAATCTGATAAATGGAATTCATGAGATTGTGAACTACCCTTGACCTTCCCCAACTGGGAGGCAATATGCTAAGGACCATATTTAATTTTTTTTCATTTTCTTAGCAATCCCACAATTTAAACATTATATCCTCAATGTCTCCCAGCAGAGGTCAGTGAGGGTCTTCAAAGGATACCAACATATCAAGTGGTGGAAGTGCACTTACATTTTGGCTATAAGGTACATACTTGACCCACTCACACCATATGTTTTGTTCCTATCTAAATAACATCTCCATGCTGAAAAATTTATTCCAAGTTAGAGGGTTCTAGTTTGTGCAAACTGCTTTGTTTTCAATAACTATGACAAACATTTTATAAAGGTAGTTTATGGAATTAAAAAAGATAATTTTAACATTTTACATTTGGATTAATGGATGGAATAAATTTTGTCTGATCCTCATGACAATTATGTAATGTGATGGGAAAGGTAATTTTCCCATATTACAAATGTAGAAACTCAGTGACTGGGAGATAAGGTTTTCAGATTCATCAAAAATGAAATATAAGATACCCCATTATATATTGATTAAAAATACTTTTTAGTATACTTCCAAAAATTGCATACTTATACTAAAAAATTCTTAGTTGCTTACCTGAAATTCAAATTTAACTGGACAGCCTAAATTTTATCTAGCAACCCTGCATAGAACTGATTTCAGTAAGGCCATAGGCTAAAAGCTCCATGTTCTGATCAAGCCCATCAGCTTGTTACTGCCATTTCCTCATCTGTGTAGATCCGCCCCCATTTCTAAATCAGCTTCCTTGTCATCTGATTGTAACCACAGTTATTTTCTCCATTTCTCACATTATGAGAAAACTGTATTTAGGCAAAAATATTCTCATTAGCATTCACTCTTATGAGAAGGACTATTGTTTGTATTTTCAAAGTACTTGCCATGATATTAGCTGAATGATCACAATAACTATCAGAGGACAATCTGAGGAGTTTTTAGTGTTCATGTTTTCCAACTTTGATGACTAAAGCTCAGGAAAGTGAGGACACTTATAGCCTGAGTTCTAAGTCTTATTATATGAAAATCCAGTTATGTAAAAATCATCTATACCCTATTTTCACTTATAGGTAGTGTAATTAACAATATTTAAAGGGGATTTTTTGACCTTGCTTTCATAGACAGTAATCAGGGATGAGTCACTATACGCTATTAAGCTTGTATCAAAATGGTAAAAAGGAGAGGAGAATGTATGGTCTAATGAGAAATTTTAAAGACAAATTTCATCTTAAAAGTCTTTAAACTACAAAAAAAAAGATTAAATATGTTTAAAACATGCTTTTGCATAAACATATCTTATACACTAAAATCTTCAATTTCCTGACACATATGTCCTCATCTCATTTGACTGCTATACAGTCTGATGATGCCCACATATTTTTTTTTTAAAGATTTATTTATTTATTTGTTTATTTATTTATCTATTTATTTATTTATTTATTTATTTATTTATTTATTTATTTATTTTTACAAGCACTGGGTACAGTCAGGAGTGTGGGAGGGTGAGAGAATTCACCAGAGCCAGAGCGGGGAGCAGAGCAGGCAGAAGGACCGAAGTACACTGCTGAGGGGAGCAGCGGGTGGCAGGAGAGGTCTGCACACCATGTGGGACCCTCCTCCGGTGGCCGGGGAGCAGCCCACATATTTTATTCATTGCTAGTGCCATCTAATTTCTACTGGACCCCTTTTCATTGTTGTAATATTTTACGGTGAATAATGCTATTTGCGAAACATAAGCAAACTTTCTACTTGTTAAAATCAAGGAGAGGGCCTCCCCGGTGGCGCAGCGGTTGAGCGCTCGGTTGCGAACCTGCCCGCGGCCTCTACGGCGCTGGTTCGATCCCCGGCTGCTCCCCGGCCACCAGAGGAGGGTCCCACATGGCGCGCAGACCTCTCCTGCCGCCCGCTGTTCCCCTCAGCAGTGTACTTTGGTCCTTCTGCCTGCTCTGCTCCCCGCTCTGGCTCTGGTGAATTCTCTCACCCTCCCGTGCTTCTGGCTGTACCCAGTGCATGTGTAAACAAAACAAACAAACAAACAAACAAATAAATAAATAAATAAACATGCCTCTATAAAATAAAAAAAAAAAAAATCCAAAATTATAAAAAAAAAAATAAAATCAAGGAGATTTCTCTTATACATTTGTAGCTGGTAAAGCCACATGACCTATCACGTCTCCTATAACTCAGACCATGTCTTCAAGAAACAAAACACATTTTGCTTCTCAGATTGAACTGTAATCAGAAACTGTTTTGCAAAGTCCAAGCCTATCTCACAAGGAATGTTCAAAGCAAGCTCAATGTTCTCCTCTCCCTTAGTGTCTTCCCTCCTCCTTTTTCACAAACTTTGGCCAGCTTGTTTTTGCAAGGTACTCAACGTGTGAACAACAGAAAATAGTTGAAGCAGGTTCTAGAAGATTACCAGGAGTAACCTTATATCATCAAAACCTTCAAATCCCCCGCGGAGCACATGCTAAGCTCCCCCCAAATAAGCATACAACCTAGAAAGAAGCATGAACCACCACATTTGTGCAATTGGAACTCCACACCTCCCCTATCTCACCCAGTCCCGCTTCACTCCACATTTCCTTCATTTATAAAAGCCTCAAACCTCCTAACAGGAAGGGAGGCAGACCACAGCCAGCATTTGCCTCCATACTTGGCCAGACATGTATTGAAGTTCAGTTCCCTACATTGAAAGTCAGAGTGTTTGCAGCAGGCAGAAGGCCCACTTCCGATCCACTAATAAGCTATTCTGAAGAGTGGAAAAGTTGAACATGCCCACAAACATTTCATTTAAAACATTTTCAATAGGTTCTAAGGATGTACAAGATAGAACTTTCATTTTTGTTTTAGTTTTCATTCCCTTCCTGTACAAGAATAAGGGGTATTATAACAGGACTTTATTCATCTTAATTTGGTAAACATATTAATATTCATTGACCATATCATCCCTGAGATGCCCTCAGAATTAATGCAAGCTCATGTATAAGGAAGCTCTATTTTCCTTGAAATTTATTTTTATTGCTTGCCACGCTCATTTTATCAAAGGAGCATCCACTGATTAAAATCATCACCTGTTTTGATACAAATTTCAAATACAGACTTGAAGTCTGAAAGAACTATTCAAATAAGTGCTAAAAATTCTATTCAGTTCTCTAATGTGACTCACAACTTGGTCCAGGCTGAGCACTGGAGTCATCACAATTGTTTCAGGATTCATGAAAACCTCAAGTCATAGGCAAACACCTAACAGCATCTCTCATGCTCACTGAAGCTGGCCTCACACCAAGCATAACCAAACCAGTTGTTTTTCAGATGTTTTGGTTTAAATTGTTTTTTTTTTTTTTTTCCATTAGCGCCACGGAAGGAGGGTTAATATCTCCTTATCAAGTAGTGTGACGAACATCTTCTTACTAGGTAACAGGAAGTAACGGTATGTTCTCAAGGAATATCAGGGCTGGACTTGCAATTTCATTGTCACCTACTGAATCACTAAGCGCTTACCTGGATAGTAACGGGCCAGGCCGGTGGCGCTACCAAATACCTGCCACAACAATGAAGGATCTTCATCTCGATTTCTTTTGAAAACTTCATCTAAGGCACTCGTCCAGTTGAGTTCATTTAACACAATTGTTGCTAATAACAAAAAAGGAAAATTCAATTAATTCAAATGTGTAATTAAAAACTGAATCTGTTCTCACATATTTGCAACATCATGTTATACATTTCCATGTGTTACTACTTACAACTCTAATCCAGTGGCTATCAAAATAGTTTTAGGATATGTAAATGACTGACAAAATATATCAAAAGAAGTTTTAGCTGTGGCATTAGTTCTTTAGACAAATTTTTATTTTTATTTTATTTATTTATACAAGCACTGGGAAAAATCAGAAGTGCAGGAGGGTGAGAGAATTCACCAGAGCCAGAGCAGGGAGCAGAACAGGCAGAAGGACTGAAGTACACTGCTGAGGGGAGCAGCGGGCAGTAGGAGAGGTCTGCGGTGCCATGTGGGACCCTCGCCGGCGGCCAGGGATCGAACTAGTGCTGCAGAGGCTTTGGGCAGATTCGCAGCCCAGCACTCAACCGCTGCGCCACCAGGGGAGGCCCTAGACAAACTTTTATATGACAGTGACCATACTGACAGTTGGGGCTGTGTAATTCTTTGTGGTGGGCACTCTCCTGTGCTCTGGGGAAAGCTCAGCAGCATCTCTGGCCTCTCCCCTCTGGATGGCAATACCTATACCAACTTGTGAAAGCAATACCTTTCCCCACTGTTTCCAGATATTGTCGGATGACACTTGGGGGGAGGCAAACTGCTCCGGATTGAGAACCATGGGACACATAAAACAGGAGATGGCAAAGCTCTCCCAGTGAAGAAAGGCTGAAAACTATTCCTGCACTCAAGGCAGCACTGAAGAAACCTCCAGGGCATGTCAGGGCTAGTCTGATGACGCTACCTCCTGATAGCAGACAAACAATGTGGTCTGTTACCAAAATTAAAAAAAAAAAAATAAATAAACAGTTTGTCATTGATCATAATTTATCAATTGTGTTTACATAAAAGATAAAATACATGGAAATGTAGTGGATATTTTATTATAGTTCTTTTGAACAACATATATTCTTTCTGGTTAGTTTAATTAATTACAGCATGATGCTAATAATGCCCAGGTTGATTTTGATACTATTTATAACTACTGATTGATCTTGGACAGGCATTCATTGAATGAAATACTATTCATTATGATGAAAGAGAAGCAATTATAATGTGAGCTTTATCATGGGTTAAATAGTCTAAGCTTATAATTATGGACCTCCATGATCACAGCATCCTATGTATAACATATTAAATTTTAATTAACTTAGAATATTATTTTTCCTTTATACAAAAGGTAACAGATTATCTCATATCATTTTATTTTTGGGGGGAGGAGGGGAAATCTTTATATATAAACTATGTACAGCACTACCAGTAAATTAGCAAATTGGGCCACTCTGTATTGGAGACTATCACCAAGTCCAAATTGTGCAAATGTGCTTTGGGATAGGACTAAAGATACTTCTGTTCTTTTTCTGTGACCATAGCAAACAAAGGAAACAATTACAATCATAAAAAATCAAGCAGAGGATTTTTTAAAAGGTAAAAGAATAGTGTCCATCAATAAAGATGCACAGCATATGTGTGTGTATTTCAAATTTTATCATTTACCAAAAGAAAAAAAAAAAAAAGGTGAAAACAAGGGGATTGAGAAATTGTTCTGGGACCAGCATCCTAATGCATTTCTCAATTGAAAACTAACAAGATTTCCATCTTTATGGACGTGATTACTTTCAGAAAGATCAGTTGTGTGCGTGTGAATATTCATGAGCTGGGTCAGATCCATAGTGCATCTGAGACACTAGTGAATTCATATTCAAAAGCATGATCCAATGAACACTAATAAGTGGCCAGGTATATGAAAATTTATATTCACATAGATAACCTGAACTAATACTCACTATTCATGAATATTTATAGTAATATACAAAGCATCAGAGAAAAAGAATATCTTACTTTTCTTTAAACCTTCATGAATTTTACAGCAATAGTCTACTGAACAAATAATCATGTTTATTTATGATCCAGATAGACTTTATTAATGCCCAATCTATTCTAACTATCTTTTTAATTTCCTTGACTCTTTATTAAGCAATAACAGGTTTCTAATTATTTTTATTAAAGTTTTATTTGTTTTCAAGGATGCCAAATTTTTCCTAGTTTAATTTGATAGTTCAACAACTAGTATTAGGTTTTGATGCACTAAAAGTGAATTATACTTTTATATACTGGGATAGAAAGTCAAATTTGAAATCTATCATCATGGTACTAAGTTTTAATATTTCCAATTTAAACATTTGAAAAATCTTTTTCACAAAACACTTTAATAAAGAAATCTTCAAAATGTTTTTTCTCCAAATTAGTTTCTCTACAAATGACAGAAGTATATTTACAAATGACCTGACTTTATATTTAGTCAGAATGAAAGTTTATAAACTAATGACAGTGTAGAGCAAGTGTGAGGGATCAGATACTTCCATTTGAGGCTGTATAGATATAAACATTTGGGGGCACAAATATTGTTTTATTAGTCACAATCTTTATTTACATGTCCAGAGGCAGACATCTGCTTAAACAATTCAAAGAATCCGCAATGGGAGTGTAAGAGTTGTGCAACTTCTTGAGACGACAATTTGGCTGCACCTTTCTTTCAAAAGGCACACAGTCTTTAACCCAACAATTCTATTTCAAGGGATTTGTACTAGAGAGTATGAATCACCAGTCCTTAATCACAGAATTTTAGAGCAAGACTCATTCATTACATTTTATCATTCAAATTCCTTAAAACAAAAGACCTTAAAAGTAAAATATATTGCTGCACTAGGATAACTTCTCAAATTACATGACAACAGTTAAAAGTATAAAATATGTGAAGCATCTAAGCAAGCAAACAAGTATGAATATTTGAGATTGTTTATGATTTTAGGATATGTTTTTCAGGTTACATGATGAATTACATTTGACTAAAATGTATGTTAGCTGGTATCCTGAAATAAGCAGACTTGTATCCTCCTAACCATATAAAGTTAAATAGTTCCACAGAATTACTAATATGTCCAAATATTTCTCCATTTCTATACTTTCAGCAAAACTTAGGCTAAACAATAATGAAATAGCTGGGTAATCTACAGAATTCTGGTCGAATAAAACTAATGCAGAATATCAACTGTGCTATAACAAGTTTGTCTCATTCCCTGCATCTGGCTTCTTCATGAACTACTTTCATTACATTTACATACATGCATATGTTTTCATTTTCTCACTCATGTTTGAAAGTGCAAACAGAGTTTATTTAACAGAATGTTTTAAAGTAACTATTCTGGCTACCACTGAGTAAAAAAGCAAGGTGCATTAAAATAGTTAAAAGTTATTATTAGGAGATCTTTAGTTCTGTATTAAAAAGAGTTTATGTAGTTATGCTAGTGTCTTCCTCTTCGCCCAGCAAGTATTTTTAGTCTCTCCTATTTTTCTGATACCATGATACTTTTATATAAAAGGTATGAAACATGATCTCTGCAAGATGAAAAAAAAAATTCCTTAGAAAATTACTTATTTTCAGTAATATTATTGATGATGAAACTGTATTGTTCATTTGCAAAGACACACAAAAATAATTGTGACATTCTTATTCTTAAATTCACCAGATTATAAATTTCTATTTGTATTTATATAATATACTTTTTCAAAGTGCAATTATTTTTATTTAAGTCAAAATATTCAATTGAATAGCCAGAGAAAGAAATCAAAAATCAAAGGATTTAACTGCAGAAATAATGATATAAATCAATAACCAAGTAACATTTCATATAAGAATTCCAGAACAAGTTGTCTTTTTCAAGAGAACTTGAAATATTTTTTGGCCATCAAAACAACTTTATTTTTCATTTGGAAAGCTATATTTAAAAACATGGATAGCAATTTTCTGACTTGTCTAGCAGCAATATTTAAATTTATCTTGAGTTTCATAGTCTCAATTTTTATAGTATGTGTATTGCATTATTTTATACATTGTTTATTATAGTAACTGATACCATCCTTTCTCTACCCTCCCCCACCCAAATTATGAGGTTTTACATTCACACAAACTTCTAATTTTTGGTTTAAATGGAGTTCAAAAGCTCACGAGTGGCCTATTTTCCCGTAGAAGACTGGTCAATGGCAATCTATCCCTGGATCCTACTATCAGTTGCTAACAAACTTAGTTAAGTATCTTCTAGCCACTTTAAGAGAAAATTTAGTACTCATTTTCTGTCAACTATTAAGAAATGATCTTTCTCTTCCCTAGAAAATTAGACTTTGCAAAACTAAGTCTTTTGTACAAGTCCAAGGTTAAGCCTATTAAAAGCAGTGAATGCTAGAAAAGCAAACCTTGACTTCTGGGCCTCTGCTTTTAATGGTATAACAGGATTTCACTGATAATTGATTCAGAACGCCAGGCAGACATCTCTATTCTTCCTATATTTGGCTCTAAAAAAACGTGGCCTTGGTGTTCTGAGTGTCTCTCTTCTTAGAGTACTCTATTGTTCAATATGGCTTCTCAAGGCAAGAAAGAAAATCTAATTTGTAACAGCACAAAAGAAGCACATTCTATTTGCTGCTAATTCTAAATTACGTGACATATCCATAACTTGTTTGTGACATGGAATACAGAATCACTGACAAGTTCTGAATCCAATTTTCTTCTGCAAACTTCAACCCATAGAGTATTACACTGTTGCTCCCTTTTAAGCTGAATACATTTTACTGACTTATTTAAGGTTCAGGGCCTCACCCCATGCCTTGAAGTTACTGTATGACTAACTGAAAAACCCTAAGGTAATTTACAATATCCAAAAGTCACATTTGTAGCTTTCAAATGTGGCAAATATAGGCTAGGGAAAAAATGATTGACATAAACTATAAAATAACTTTGATGAGTCTGTACTGAAAATACTTTTTATAAAACATAAAATAGCTTTGACATCTCTTGGTAAAACCTGTAGATAAATATTAAATCTGTGGAAAGGAACAGATACTAACAATTATTTTTAATAAT